CTGAGAAGTTGCAGAAAGACACTGAGATTCCACAGACTATAGACACTGGAGTGAATTGTATTTGTGTCTTCATGAATGTGAGTCATCCTTGCTTTTATTTGTCTTACATGAATAGATACATATTTATTTTTATGTTAGTTTTAACCTGACAATAGGAGAAGCAATAATTTGTTGTCTTATTTAGTATAATGTAATTGTCCATAGAGAAGTTAACTGAGGTCAAAGATGAGAAGCTTAATGTGAAACTTGGCCGGTGATGTGTGCCAAATCACCCTAAGCAAACAGGAGTGGTAAGTCCTCTAGTCTTTTCCCATTATGTCATTTAATTTCTAAGAGCTAAAGTGATATATGGAACTGCTGGAAAAGAAATAATTTTTGTGAATGCAGTTAGGCTTCAGATGCAGTAAATACTTGAATAAACCTGTGCTACTAAATTAGGATATCTAAGCAAGGAGGAAAGCAGCATTTATGTAACACATTTGTATATAATAAAAAAAAAACTATCTTCATAGTTAATCAAACTACCACCCAATGTGGTGTGTTGTAAACATCCATGCATCTCACAATCACCTGAAAGTCATTAAGAACATGGGTTGTTAGGACCTACTCCCAGAGGTTCAGTCTAGAGTAATGACTGAAGACCTAGAAGGCTCTGAGCTGATGTTGGTAGTCAGACCACACTAAGAACCACTGGCCTAGCATTTGAGAGGGGCTTGGTAAATGTTGGCCTAAGACTATAGGTATTTAAAACCATAATCTCACCAGAAATGCAACTTAGCATAGAGTGACTAATGTTAATTCACAAAAAAGACTATAATCATATACACTGCAGAACAAAACCAATTTAGAACTAATTTAATTCAAATTCCTTACTGTAAAAATGAAGAAATCATAAAATTAAATAAAATTAAATGAGGTTTTAAACTTTGAAAAAGATGTCCATTTCATTATTAAAATACAGTTTCATACAAAAAATTCATTTTTAATACAATTGACACTAAGATGCACATGCATTTCTAATCTCTATATATCTGATTATTACTAGTCACAGTCAGTTACTTTCCGAACTCCTTGGCATCTGAGCATGGATATAAAGTCATCAGGTAGATTTCAATGGTAATATTTTTCACATCTACAAAGTATTAAGGAGCAAATTTTTATGCTTTGAAGAATTTTTTTTTTATACACCCATTTCCCAGGTAGCACCCTCCCATAGTCTCCCTCCCCCAACTAGAGCCCTTATAATTTGATATCCCTGCTACTGTCTGCTGTGTTGTCGGCACCCCCAGCCATTCCCCATCTCTTGCCCTTCTGGTGAATCTAGTCAGCCTCTCTAGAGGTCTTTGTTTTAGGAGGGTCAGCTGTTCCTCATCTAGCAGTAATCAGTTGTCAATATTCCTTTGGATAAGATTGGGGTCTGCTGTTCAATTTCCCAGTTCTATGGTGGGTTACTATCTGGGAATCCCTTTGGCCACCCTGGCCAGCAACTCAAAAGAAGGTATCACCTGTCTGGCATTGTTGCTTGTTACGTAGCTTTTAGCTATGCATATGGACTCTTATGAAATTATATTGGCCCCTTTAATCTTTGGTTATACTCTCCTTTTGGGTGTTTAAGGCCATACAGTGGGTCCAGGTAAACCAATTTAGTTTTACTCTTAAGGTCGTTTGAGGATCTGTTCCTCAGGGGTCACATGGGCTTGGGAGGAACCCCTGGCTCCTTTCTTTTACCAGTTCCACCTATGTGAAGATAAGTCAAAGGTCCTGCTCGACCATGGTTGGCTTCGCTTGGAAGCATGGAGGAAATGATTCCTCTGTGTTGACCCTCCTCTTTATAGACTGGACACTGGCTCAAGTCCATCTGGTGGGGTCTCCTCGGCCTCCTTGCTCAAGAGGACAGATGACCCACAACCATTATAGGACATTTTGGAGTACAATATTGTATAACTGTATTAATTCAACTGTAAACCTAATAATTTACAGCCAGTTTTGAAAGAGAAGCATCTTAGCTCTGGAAATTGTTATTGAATATGTCAATGTTGTTGTAATGAAATGCCTCTTCCAATCGTATGGTTATGAAATAAATAATTGAAAAAAATTTAATATCTCTGAAGGGGGCTGGAGGGAGTTCAGCAATCAAGAGCAATTTCTGCTCTTCCAGAGGCTCTGGGTTTGGTTCCCTGTACTCACATGGTGGCTAACAACTGTCTGTAACTCTAGTTCCAAGGGATCCAACACCCTTTTCTGTCCTCCATTGGCACTGCACATACATGGTGCACTTACATACATTCAGGTAAAACAGTCATCTACATAAAATTTGTTTTAATCTAAATATAATTAGTGGAGAGAGGGAGGCTTCAGGAGACAGTGGTGTCTTGGGCAGGGTGGAACCTGGGGTTCAGGAGAGGTGGAGGGGGTTTTACCCAAAACTGAACACAGCTATGAGAGAGGAGTCGAGTGATTCAGAGGTCTGAGCCACAGAGGGTGGATAGTAGTACCTGCTATAGAGGTGGAGAATGCTTGAGAAGGTGGGAGGAACAGCCTTGTTCTGGCCTTCTTGATTTTAAGGCATCTGTAGGACATTTGCTTGGAGAAAATCTTAAATATGGCAGGAGGGACGTGTGAACTGAAGTTCTACCGGTGGCTGTTATTCATCAGTAGGTCAATGGCATTTGTGGCCTGGGCCTATGAGATATACCTAAGGGTTGAGGGCAGACAGAGAAACCAGGCCAGGGCAACAGTCAGAGAAAGAAGGCAAACCCAGGCAGGGAGGCCAAGAGGGGAGCGGCCCAGGAGCCAAGCCGGGAAAGGACTTCAGGACAGAGTAAGGCAGTGAGCAGCCCAGGGGAGAGGAGGCCTGGGAAGGGACTGTGGGTTACAGCCATGCAAAGTCCCCGTGGTCAGGATGATGGCGGGCAGGAGGGAAAGGAGGATGCCCACTCAGATGTGCCTTTGTCATGGGGAAGTCACCTTTGGGCATCAGTGTGGAAGATGGAGTATGATCTGGATGGAGCCCCTTAGGAAATGATCTGGCCAAGAGAGAAACTAACTACCTGATTAGGTTCCCTTAGGTGGATGCCAAGAACAAGAGGGTCCCACAAGGACAATGAGGGGTGTCTGTGGGAACCAGTGCATGGTGAGAGTGGAGAACTGGGGGCCCCAAGGGAAAAAAAGGAAGAAATCAATAGTTTCTTAAGCTTAATACCTAATGTAAGAATCTCTTTAATAATAGTCAATACAGGCAACATTAAGGAAAACTTTATATACAATTTGAGTATGACAGTGTTATCCTAAATATGTATATGTACATTCATATTTATATTCTGAGTGCACATTCATATTTATATTCTGAGTATGTTATAACTAAGGATGTATTCTTCAGTTTTAACATTTTATTTCTGCTAGGCAGAATAACTTTAATATGTTGGGGCTCCTATGTTACATCTATGGGGAAAAAGCCTATTGACATCAATAATATAAAATCAGGCCTTTAGGGTACCATAACTGTCTCTTCAAATTATTTGGGAAAACATGTACATGTTCAATCAATTAAATATAACGTGAGTGTTGCCCATTTTCACCATAAGTAATCAAAGTGCTGCTGTTAATAATCCTGGTTAGCAGAGTGAACTCATTTTTATTCTTATAATTTAATTTAAAAATGCACAAAATTTCGTAGAGTTGAAAACTGTTTACCTGGAGAGCGTGCTGCAACTACCTGCCTCATGGCAGTGTTCATTTGGAGGTACCCAAGCAAATGACTGAGGAGTCAGTTTTCCATTCAGCTCTTTGAGATCATGGGGACAGATTGCACTGTGCTTATTTCCCTCAGTCCTAGCATCTAGTCTAAAGCACAGAACCTTGCTTGCTAAGGACACATGAGAAGCCAAATTCTCGCAAATGTGCTGCGTTTACCTCCAACTTAAAATCCCATCTATCTTTTTAAATTAGGTGCCATCTGTTGTGTCATCATCTCTGGTTAAACGTTATGAAAATTCCCTGCCAGTATCACACTGCTGCGGCAATTTAAGCCTGCTACTTCTCCAGTGTTTTCTACAGCGTGCGGCGAGAGCCTGCTCTTTTAACTAATTCCTGCAGCAGGACAGAGCATGAAAGAGTCCAAAACAGAGCAGTGTTATTCTGGTCCCACTTTTACTCTTAGAGTGAGTGACTGTTCTAATCAAACATGGGCTCATCTCTGCTGGTCTCCTGCACAGCCCCTTCCGACCCCACGCAGTTAACCCGGCCGGCCTCAGTCAGTGCTCGCATCCAATGGCGCCTGTGCTTCAGCATTCACCTTGAAACTAAGTAGGCAGGATTTATTACCTGCTGAAGTCCCATAACTACCGCTACTCAAGTTCCACTCATATTATCACAAGCAAGCACAACAGAAGCCAAGTAGAGGCAGACATACAGCTCATTTACAAGAAAAGCAAATTAGCAGTCAGAGACAAGGGCAACCGAGCAGCTGATAACTGCAGTAAATTTTTCAAGCTGGTAACAACATCAAACAATGCTCTCCTGCAACACCTCAGATCAAATGGATCATAGTCAGAGTTTAAACATCAAATCAACACTCATTCCTTGATTGTTAGAGAGGGTGCTTGATAAGCAAATTTCAGTTCATGATGTTTTTACTTAAGTGTCTTAAAGCTAGGATTAATGGAAGAATTTCTATGCTTATTCAAACATGCTGATAGAACTGGAATCTCTTAGTAATTCCTGCCTGAACCTCTCAGCATGGCTGACAGGCACCTGCCAGGACAATAGGATAAGAATCACTGAATCATGCAAAAAATATTTACCCCCAAAAGATGTAGTAAAAGCTCAGCTTCCTCCAGTCTCCATGGCCCCTGAAGTGTTAATCTGAAGAAACAGTTCCATGAGTTTCCACAGGCCAGCAGTGAGTCTCCTACACTTGACCTAGACAGACTTACATAACGAAGCATCAGTGCTAGGGAGCTTGCTGAATGTCATCACCAGCAAGACTAAGGAGTATTGGCAGCAGCAAGCAGGCAGGCAGCCTGGGAGTTTACATGAAAAGCATGAACTCTTTCTTGTCTTTCTTTTCTGAAACGTTTTGGAAGGAGAGTTAAGAATAGCTCAGAAATTGGTCTCATCTTGTGGATAGGAAGAATGACCAGAAGCATAAAGCTCAATCTTCCAGCAAGTGCAAGGCACCGCTTTTGGTGTTTATAGTAAATCTGACATGAGGAATTGATGTCTGTACAGTTCTGAACCATCACACCGAAAGTGAAGGGGGTGGTAAAGCAGTGTAATAATGCATAGGCTGCTGGCAAGAACTTTGGTCTGTCTTTAACTCATTGTGGTGAGTAAAGAGGGAATGTGGGTTTAAATGAGAGGTGGGGATGGATGTTATTTTGCAGGGTCATAAAAGGTATGTAAAGAATGTTCATGTCATTTAAACCTATTTTACAAGCAAGATACAGCAGTTTTACTGTTCTATATCAAATTCAGACTGTGGTGGGTTAAACTGAGTAATGTATTTTAACTTCTGAAGTGTTCATTCAAGTAATAGAAAAGCAGGTATTCATCTATGTGGTTTGCAGATAAATGTCAGCTATGTTAATTCTGAAAAACAAGCTCTAAATTTCAGCATCAAATTTTGCATACAGTAAATCATTGTTAGACTTCGTAAACAACTTTTCAGAATGTAGCATGGGGATTTTGGGGGTTTTTTGTGTGTGTTTTAAAAAGATAGCCTTTGTTAGATTCACTCCTAGATACATTTGGGGTACTTTAAACAAATTAAAAAATAATGTGCTCTCATCCAATTTCCATTCAATTATCTCAAATGTGTGTAACACAGTGATGCCCTTAAAACCTAGAAATAATAAATCCAGTCTTCTATTCTGACTCTTTGTACAAGGATGTCATATTGTTAGTATAAGATGGCATTGTATCATTTAATTATATATGAAATTGTGGTTTTTATATGGGATATGGATAAAGATGTATAATTTCTGAGACAGCAGAAATAGAGAAACAGCCATGCATCATTTAAAAATAATTGTATTGTTTTGTTTTTAGCTGGGAAGTTTGTTGCTAATGCATCACACCGAGACTAGAGTAAGGAAATAAGAGAATGTAGGGCTATGGAAGAACACGGTGATCTCATTCCTCCTCATCATTTAATGCAAAGGAAACTGACATGGAAAGAAGTGTCTGAGCTGACCCGAGGGAAGAGGTGAGTAGACGACAGTTTTTCCTCAGGTTCATCTGGTGTTTTGCTATCATAGTACAAGAATTATTTTTGATACTAGAATACAGGCTTAATTTACAGAGATTTAATTTTTTAACAGACGTTACAGTAAATAAATCAGAATGTCACTAAACATTTGCTTTTGGCAGTAATATGGTTTTGGAAAAACAAATTCTGTAGTAGATGGAATAAGAAAATTTTGGATTTTTTTCCTCTCAAAACTGCAAAGATGTAACATTGATGTAACATTGAGTAACATTTCCAAGTAGGAAATTGTGCTCTGAACACTGAGCTCATGTCAATGTGTATTGTGGTGTAGGCTTCACCATGTTTGGAAGAGATTGCAATATCAGCAGTAATAGTAATCACCCATAGGAAACAAGGATCCGGGGAGTAAGAGTTTTCTAAAAAGAGCCCATTTTAAGTCTTTTGAAAACAAATGCCTCTTGTACCAGGCGCTATGATTCCCATGCTTCTCTTTGTCACCAGCGCAGTGCTTGCTGGACCCCACCCAATAAATGTGTGCTGAACAAATAAATAGCAGGATGAACCATGTTCACAATATGCTCATGTATAGGAGTTTTATCTACTATGACTTAGTAGAATGTTCTTTGGAGGAGTTGTCTATGAAATTATTTATTAGTAAATTAGTAATTGCCTGTATGAATAAATGCTTCTGAAATACTTGTTTACAAATTGTTCTTATACTTTTTAAGGAAAGATTCTCCTATTAGATCAAATAAGTATGAGTTTGGTTGATTATAAGAGAAAATCCGGTATTCTCTAGCTTAATCAAATGGGTTTTGCTTTTCTATAGTGATGTGATCATTTGGAGGTGGGATTCCCTCCAGAGCCAGATAGCTGACTTCTGAAGCTGAATTTCAATCATCATAAAATGATCTCCTCAGTACAATGGTATATTCTGCTAGCCTCTACCTCACTGCAAAACCACATGAATGTAGTACTAATTTCACTCTCTTACAGGAATACATAGGAAAAACTCCTTATGGAACATCAGACCACAGCTTAACTGTCTAATGAGACTAGAAAATTAAATAAAACTATTTAGTAACTGACAGAAATTAATTTTGTGAGTCACAATCTCAAAGGAGAACACAACTAACATTTTTACATTTTTCTATGTTAATTTCTAGTAATATTACATTTTTACCTATAGGCAAAAATTTTATTTCTAGGTCCACTCAGTCACTTTGGTATAGTTATTACATTTGAAGTTTAATTTGGTAAAATGGGAGATTTTATCTTTGCCCTTTATGATAAAGTAAAAGAGCTTTGGCAACAAATATACCTTAGCACTATGAAGTTTTTTGTCTTCCCCATACAAAGTTCTGCCATTACCCTTGGTTGGCATGTGGCCCTGGTATAATTGCTTATGGATTCAGGAAATGTAGTAGTTAATATTACCAACTGGACAAAATCATCTAGGAAACAAACCTTTGGACATGATAAGAGGGAATTTCTAGATTGGGTTAACTGAGGCGTGTATTCGTCACTTTTCTGTTGATGTGATAGAAACATCATGACCAAGGAAATTTATAAAAGGAATAGTTTATTTAGCTTATGGTTCCAAGGGGTAAGAGTCCATCATGGTGGGTAGGCATGACAGCAGAAGTGGCTGGAGTAGGAGAAGAAGCTAAGTACACACATCTTCAAGTAGGCACAGGAAGCCGAGAGTGACTGGAGATCTGGCAAGGCTTAAGAACTCTCTAAGCCCACCCCCAGTGACATACTTCCTCCAGCAAGGCTACACTTTCTAAAGTCTCCCAAAACAGTGCTGCCAACTGGGGACAAAATGTTCAGATTGGAGCCTATGGGGGACAGTCTTATTCAAACCACAGGTGGGAAAACTCACCTTAAATGTGGGCATCATTCCATGGACTGGTATCTTGAGGTGTATAAGAAGGGAAAGTGAGCTGAACACTAACATTCATCTCTGCCTACTTCTTGACTAAGGAAACAATGTAATCAGTTGCCTCAAGCTTCTCCGCCATGCCTTCCCCACCACGATAGACTGCAACTTCTGTGAGCCCAGATAAACCCTTCTTTCCTTTAATTTCTTTAGTCAGGCATTTTGTCAAAACAACTGCCTGACTGAGATACAAAGTAACTGAGATAGAAAATTGTTATGAGAAGCGGGGCTGTTATTATTATGATAAACTTACCATGTGGTTCTTAAGCCTTTGGAATTGGTTTGAAGAAGGGATGTGGAAGAGTTTGGAACTCTGTGCTAGAAAAGCCCTAGAATGCTATATGCAGAGATTAATGGGCCATACTGGTGGGATCTGCCTATAGCCTGTAGAGCCCTAGTGAACTTCTATTGGACTTTGATGGACACTTTTGCTTACATATCATCAATTGAAGCAATTCATTAAGTATTGGGGAAAAAAGACTATGGATTATTCATCTTTGAATCTCCAGTACCTAAAACAGAGCCTTACTGAAACACTTAGTGACTATTCATTGTAATAAATATTGTAATTAGTAAGAATGAGGGTGAGTACCATTTACTTTAAGAAGAAAAGTATATGCAAATATACGCATATACAGACTATATATGTATATAATATATATATACATATATATTTGTTTCTGAGACAAGGTCTCACTACATATAACCCAGTGTAATCCAGGCTGGCCCTATCTTGCAATCCTCCTTCTTCAACTTCCTAAATTCTGGGATGATAGCCAGGCACTACCATGCCTGCCTGTACAAATTTGGATTTATTAAGTAGAAAATATTAAAGATAATTTATTCTAGGAAAATATGCTTTACTTTGTAAGAGATTCCCAAGTTTCATGGAAAATATTCAAAATTGTCTTTTATTAGTTTTTTTTTAAAAGTATTTCATGAAATACTTTTAAATACCTGCACTTAAAAAATCCAGTTGTAGTCAATGACTTTCTTATGTGGGTCTGTGTTTAGGGTTGGGTTGATCTCTTGGGAAGCTTGATCTAGTTTTTGGTTTAAGTTGGGTTTTGTAGTACATACCTGTAGTCCAAGTTCTTGGGAGGGTGAGGCAGAAGGATCTAGAGTTAAGGCTAGGCTTGGTAAAGTACTGGGTCCCAGTCAATGTAGGCTATATAATAAAATTCTATCTAAAAATATATGTAATAAGGTTATGGTAGCAGATCCAGTATGATTGTTATCAGCATATGTTATTAAATTCCATGTAAAAATAAATATCCCACTCTTTTGAGAAGCTTGAAATTGGCAGTTCATTTTAAAGCATATCTTATAAATTATAGAAATGATTTAAGACTTTATGACACCATTCTTTAAACTCAAATTTATTGCCTTATATAAGATAGTTTAGTTTCTTCAGACTCTCACATTTGTTTTATTGTTTTATTGCTATGATAAGCTTATAATAGTTGTACATTTTTCTACCCCTCATCACACCACTCTTTTTTGAGATAAATAATTTGTTGAGAATTTCATACATACATGTAAGGTGTTTTGATCAAATCCACGCCCACTCCCTCCCCTCTAACTCTTCCCATGTCTCCCCATCACTTTTTTTTCTGATAACTTCATGTACTATTTCTTCTTCTTTGATTTATTTATTGATTTTTATGGGGCTTTTGCCTATTCTAACATTCCCCCCTCTGAAGAGGTAACCCTAAAACCTTTTGAGGATTAGATACAAACTCCCAAATATTTTTGACATATTTGGCCTTTGGAACAGAGTATGTTGCAAGAGGCCCAAGGACATTTTGACTTAGCCACATCACTCTTTAAAACAAACAGAAATAAGGAGAAGGAGCACATACATCTCTGCCAAAATCTCAGTTAAATTGCCTTCTCTTTCCCTCCTAACCTTGCTTCTGTGAAGTCTTCAGCCATTTTTAGTTAGAATAGAAAGTTAAGGCTTTGGACTTTGAATCCAGCTTTACAAGTTCAGGACTCAAGCAGGGAGTCTCACACTGTGATGTGGAGATCTTTGAACACTAAGAACTGTGAACCAGCAAAGCCCCTTCTATTGAAAACCAGAGTTATAGAGGTGCACAATTTAGTGATAGCTGTGTCAACCGAAGCAGGTAATCTTGGCTGACTATTTTGCTTGAATTTTTGCCTGATTTCTTTCCCAATTCCCAAGTTTTTTCATTTGGAGAAAAGCCCAGGAAAAAATAGTTGAGTTGCTCAAGCCATATACCAAGTCTGTAATAGAGTTCAGCCAACAAATACAGCTTTATGACTAGAATCAAATGAAAAACTCAGTATGATGGAAAGGAACAACCAAAGTTTCTTTATAGGTATATCTCAGCTGTAAAAAATTTTAACCTCTTCAGAGCATGGTGTGATAAGAATAGGAGGTAGGAATTTGCTAGGCAGTTAGGGTAAAAAGACCCCAAAGAAAAGTAGCCAGTTTCTTGGCTAAAACTCACAGTGTCCTTGTGCCTCTTAGTAACCTACTTTGTTCCAAAGGCTAAAAGTGTCAAAAAATATTTGGGAGCTTTTATCTAATCAGTAAAAGATTTTAGGGTTACCTCTTTAGAAGGGTGGAATGTTAGAGTAGCCAAAAGCCCCATAAAAATAAATAAATCAAAGAAGAAGAAAGAGTACATGAAGTTATCAGAAAAAAAGTGATGGGGAGATATGGGAGGAGTTGGAGGGGAAGGAGTGGGCATGGATTTGATCAAAACACCTTATATGCATGTATGAAATTCTCAATAAATTATTTATTTAAAAAAAAGATTAAAAAGTTTTTAAGCCAAAAAATTAAATGTATTTCATTTAGCAAAATTCTATGTATCTTCTATACAATGACCTATATGCTGAGGCATTTTCTTTTGCCATTTTGGAAGTGAAGAAAATGATTAGAGTTGGGTTAATGATAGAGCACTCATAATTTGTATTTGAATGTGCATATTTAACACTTTATAAGATACTTATTTGCCTCTTAGAAACCTAGATTCTTACTCTCCAATGTGAGCTGCATAAAGCTGTTGTTAATGTGATCCCT